TAAGATATAGTCTCACATGTGAGGAGAAGGTGGAGGAGTGAGGTCTTCAATTAAAATATTCAAAATTCACATTCTGTTAATGTCAAGTGACCTCAACCCATCCGATCCTGACTGGAAGCCTGACAGGTATGGTGTTCATAGCACAAAAGATTTCCCCTGCTCCACTGTTGAAGACAAAATTATTAGGAGCAAACAAAGAAACAAGCCTTGTAACACAATAGGGTTTTTCCCCCTTCTTCCCTCCTTCCTTCCTATCCTCCATCATCTCCAACCACAGTCAAATTTCTTTACATTTTCTCTGTGGTACATGGGCATAGTTCTTTTATTCACTTAATAGGTTGTTCACTGAGGGAGAATGAAGTGTTATTTCATGATTTGGTGTATTCAATAAAGTCAGAGTTTTCTAGCACAGAATCCTTATTCTAAATATATTTCTCTTCTTGAGGAAAGAGTTTAGTGAGCAGTTTCCACAAAAGACTTGGGTAAGACAACTGCAGTTGCTTCTGGGTTTTGCATTTAACCTTGTATTACACAACCTTATGGAAAAATATCCCAGGTAAGTTCATCGTTCATTATTTTTTCATTAGTTCCTTTGCCTTCTGATTTCACACTTTTCTTTGTCTCAGGAGGCAGGAGGATAGGCCAAGCTTGCCTTTAGCCTGACAGTGAGCTGGAGGGTGAAGAACTCCTGGGTAAATGAGCACACAGAAAGAAAGTAAGTAAATCACTGGACATCTTGCAGTTTAGTGAAATTAAATGCCTACCCACTGTGCCTTGACAGTAAAATCTGACAAGAGCAGTGTTACAGAGCTGGACATCCCTTCAAGCGGAATTTACAAAGAGAATTAGACAGAAGAGCAGCTACCAGCATCGTGCCTACATTATCGAACATTCAAGATAACGACTCATTGCAGATGAGAAGGAAAAGATGGAATCAAAAATCCCTGCTAATCCCTATTGAAAGGATGAATGCTTTCAGTGTTCCCTCAGGTGATGCTTTCCTGAAGCAGGCGATGGGTTGCTTGTTGCATGTTGAAGAGGGCTCCTGGATGAAATGGAGTGAGTTAGGTGGTAACAATATGGAGCCAAGCAGAGACATATGTCTGACAGCATTTCTTCCACTTTATTCAGCACAGTACTCTTTCACAGTGGTTCCATCTTCAGCGTATTGCAGACTTGCACTGTTTCCTATCACACTGTACCTTTAAAAGGATGCAGATGCGGGGACTCACTCCAGTACACACAAGGTTTTCAAGGATGCTCTCCCTCCCCCTCTTCTGACTGACAGTCTGCAAAATACATAGACGACAGGGACAAGGGGTGGAGTTACTGCCTTTTTTTTCTCCTCAAAAGGCTATGTCCTGTCAGTTGAAGCCCTATTATAAGACAGTGCTGCACAGTTATTGTTGTATTCTGCTGTGTCGGATGTTGTTTACTGAGTATGGCAGTTGTTACTGATCTATCTGGGAGCAGAAACATGTTGTAGACTTGTTAAACAAAAATTGTTTAACCATGGAAACTCCAGAAACAGACAGAGCTTTGCTCTCCTATTCAAAGAATTGTTAACCAGCTTTCCATGTGTTCAAGGAAGAGTTTCTTCTCTACCTGGGCCCTGTGTGAAGGGCTACAACACTAACTTCTGGGTTATTTTTACCATTTTTTGGGAACAGGAAGGAGTAATGTAGTGCTTGCACAATTACAAAATAGATCCTGATCCATAGGGATTCTCATTAATTTCTGGAGAATTTTTACACGAGTTTCTACTCCCAGCATGAACCTCTTCAAACAAAACAACCAAAAACCATTTGGGGCTGCTCTCCCAGGTGTGTTTTTGGCAGCTGGGTACACAGGGCTTGCCCACAGCTGGCCAGTACAGATGTTGGCACATGAACAAGGAAAGCACGCTCCCATGCTGGTCACAGCAATTGCAATTTCTTGTCTTGGTCATCTAATTTCAAGAACCATGGGTGTGTGGGTCATCAGTATCTCTGCTTAGTTCAAACTACTGGGGACTAACTCTTATTTCATTTTCAGGACAACAGAAAAACTTGAGAGAAAGCAGACAAGTGCAACTCAGTGCCTGGTGGAAGAGTGTGTAGGATGCCCATGCATTCCGAGGTAGCATAGACATAGGACGTTGGCAATGGTATGAAAAACACCTCGTCCCTGCCACTTCTGTGTACACAGAAGTTCGGATTTACTGTATCTTAAACTGTACTTGGAAATACCCAGGAATGAGTAGGATGTTTAGCTCCTATTTTCTGTCTGTTCATTTCTCACTCAGAAAATTACCGGGGATTGAAAAACAAAGCATCTTACTGCACAGAGCTCCCGTCAACTTCAGCCGGTCCTATTTGCATGTGTGTCAAACAGCTTGAGGAAAATGCTCTTCCAGGTTCCGTGCTGTGAGCAGTAGATTCAGCATCTCAACTGGCCTCTGTATTTTGATGATTCTGTTACAGGAAGGTTTGTCTCCTGGCAAACTCTGAACTCATGTAAAGTGCAGTTTCAGTCTTAAATTCCTGCATTAGCCCAGAAGTAAACGAGAAGAGGTACGTGACTAACATGTTTGCGTGTTTAGAAGAAAACAGTTGTTTAGAAGCTCTCACAAAAATGTGAAAGGAAACAAAATATAAATAGGCTTCTGTGATTTCTGAGCAGATTGCATGATGAATTTCAGTAGCCAACATTAAAAACTACCTTTCTCTCCCAAGAACTTTTACTTAGATATGATAATGATAGTATTGAAAAACTGATCATAGCATCACCGAATGCCACCCCGTGTGTGTCTCCTTGGGTGGGAAGTAGTATGTCTCACTTTTCTACTTTTTCTTCAGATAGATACTTCTCTTTGCAGAAAATCATGTTACTAACCTATCTGCTTGTTAGCTTTTGCTCTCCTTTTGCTAAACTGAAGAAGGAAAAATACATGCTCCTGTGGCAAACAACAGACAGAGGAAAAGATCAGAGGAGACGAATGAGGTTCCATCACAGCAAGAAATTTAAGAAAAGGTTAGAGATGACAATAATGGGCATGGTGTGTAGCCTGAAGTAATCTTGTAAACTTCAGGGAACCAGACCAGATAATCCAACTTGCCCTTTCTGTCTCTGCTGTCTCCCAATTACTATCTACCATCAGGCTATATGGAAAATTTCTAATGATGGTGACAAAACTTCTAGCCAGATCTCAAAGAAAGGGGTACAACCAAGAGATTCTGAGATGTAACCCCTTAAAGTGATTTATTCCTTAAGCACGTCATTGTCTTGGATCACAGTCTTGACCTTAAGCTTGTGCTTATGTTATACTTTTAAATTATCCTCAGTTTGGTTTGGTTTGCTGTCCTGATGTATAAGCCTCAGTTGTTGCGAGTTCGACGTTTTAGATTAGGAAAAGTAACTTAGAAACCACTTAAATAAGATTTGGAGGAGGAGTTATTTTTCGTGACTGTAAATTAGAAATAAATATAAAAATACAACATACAACTAAAACCCCAATAATGAAATTGTGTTGCATAACTAAGTTTCCTTCTCAGATAAGTTCTACGACACCATAAACATACGTCATTGGCTATTAAGCCACTTACAATAGAAACATTAAGAATTATTTAGTTACAGTACAATTTCAGTTCTCCTAAAGACTTATTCATTTCAGTTTACCTGGTTAAAATACGATCTTTTATTATGCTTCTTGTTTGGTTTTTGATTCGGTCTCTAAGCAGTCGTTTGAATGGTGGTGGGAGTAGACATCTGTCTTTGATACTGTCTATTTGATCTTTCACCTACTAAATAAGCAAGGAATTAGTTTAACATCCAGCTTAATATAGCTGGTTAAACATAATTGTCACCTTGATCTTTACACCTGCATTTCCATGCCTGTTGTTAAAATAGACTTATAAACCAGATATCTTCCTAAATTAATTTTATTCTAGACCTTTTCTCTCTATTCTATAAGTTTATTTAAAAATAATTTCAAAAACTCAGCTTAAACTGTATGTAAGTCCTGCTAAACTGGGCCTTTATATACATGTATTACCTTTTATGTGAACAGTACTTTGCTAATGATTCAATAATTAAGAGAGTTTACATTTTAAAGACTTCAGTTTTTAATTGGTTGAATATTAATCACAGATCACTTTCAGTTCTGTTGTGATATGCAAATTATTGATGTCTCAGTTGCATTTGTTTTCAGGTATCAGTCTATCCGCATAATGCAAAATAACATTCTGCAATTATTTCAATTAGAGGCTGTCAGCCTTCGAGCAAGTTTTTTTATTTGATTTCTGTAAATGAAGCAAGCAGTTGCTGTTTTCCATTCCCTGATGTTTACTGCCCAGAAAGAGCACTCGCAACTGGTCTGCGTGCAGCACCAACAGTTTTCTAACCGAATTATGTTAGCATTCACAGCAAAAGACAAGCAGCTAAACTCCCCTTGCAAGATTTCATCTGGTTAACCGACTCTTCTGCCTCGGAAAGAGATGTCACATTGTTTGGGGGTATTCTTGCCATTTTAAAGTATGTTATGGAAAGGTAAGAGTAAAGAGGAGTTCTTATTAAGGAGAATCTGTTTTGCACAAGTGCATAACATTAGAGGATTTTTTTTTTTCACCAGACTGCAGCTGTTACCTAAGCAGAGGAGGAATTTCACCTAAGCACAGAGAATGAGATACACAAATAGCTGTGTTGTCTTAGGAAAGGGTCGGGTATGTCTCCTCACAGCGATTTTGTTCCATAATTGCAATTCGCATTAAATGCAGCAAATGTTACCATCCTGCCCACTCAGTTTCCACCTCTACTTTTGTTTCAAGCCGCGGGGGGGGGGGAAAGCGAGTCTCTTCTTTTCTTGCCTTTCCTTCCCCGCCCCGCCGTTCCCGGCCGCGGTGCTGAGCGGCGCGTACCCGGGCGAGCGGGGACACACACAC